CTGTGTCGGAGGTGCCACGTTTAGTGAATTTCCTGCCTCCCAAGAATTGTAGTCCACTAAAAGTCACTTTTTCACCATTTATTTAAAAATATTAATTATAATCACAAATCACATTCTCATCACTTGAGTCACTGTCTCACTCCCTGGTCTCTCACTGTCTCTAGTCTCTCGCACATCTCTAGATCTCTCCCGTCTCATGCATTATATATATTTTAGATTATCTCACGTTCAGTTCATTCTCACCTATGATTGGTTCGTCTTAATTGCATTATTTTTCTAATTATTTTGCACTATATTATTAAATCAACACATAATCATCCCCAGTCTCCGACACGCTATTCCATGATCGCCATTTTGATTTTTATTTCGTAAGTATTACGTAATTAAAATGACGTAATTTGTCATTTTGTGGCGTACCAAAGGGCAAACCTAGAGTCGGTGGGCACCACAGGTGGCCCCATCGCCTATTGAAGCAAGAAATACAGGAAGCTCCAGGCCAAATTAAAAAACCTGTGCTTTCATTATTATCACATATACAATGTTCAATGTCCAATCTGCTTTCTGCATTATCACTTAATACGATAATTTGCTTGTAAATTTACATGTACTTCATTTTCAATATTTTAGGTAGTGTACTTGAAGACCAAATATTTATACCAGTGTTGTCATGCAAAATAGTGCCCCAATAAGCAATTGCAGAAACTGTATTCGAATCCCAATAATTGCATGGCTTAATAGTGGAGTAACAAATAGAATATAATGCAATTGCACAACATTGAGAAATGTCAGAACTACATGCACATGTATTAGTTTCCTGTGAGACATTACCACTACCAGGCATACCGTTTTCACTAAGGTTTTGGGCGTGGTGAAAAGAAGCTTGTTGTTCTTCAATATTTACTCCTCGTAGCTCAAACTGACTGTTTTCACCGTATAATGACTGTAAATGCAAAACATGGTCAATAGTTGCTGTCTCTAACAATACACAAGTCCCTTGTGGATGGCTTCAACCATATATATCCCTTGAATGAGAGTCAAATATTTTGTATTTCCCATCATTTATGGAATATATGCAAACTGCATTGGAATCAATTGTCAATATAAATGCAGCAGTTTTCAGTCAGTAGCAACTCAAATGCTCGATGAAATGGTACACAGTACTGATACCCTTCAATATGACTTTCTCCAAGTAGTCTGCCACTATAGCTTTCACTGTACTGGAGAATATAATCTGTGTTGAATACTGTAAGTTGCGTAGGCAGTTCTGTAAACATTAGTTCTGTAAACATTAGAAATGATTGGCTTGTCGAACGTGCCAAGTTTGAGTATAATTCATTGCCAACATTCATTAACCGAGCCAAATCTTGTGATGAGTAAATGCCCTGTCATTTATTGTATATGAGCGCACATAAACACATGGTCAAACATTGCTGTCCTGCTGTTTCGCCAAATATAAGTTCATTTTCCTGACTATATGGTGCACTTATTGTCACGCTAGGATCTATATAGTATACAGGTCCAGGATTGGTCTCGATGTCTGAACAAAGCGCAGACTGATGGACATTTATTATGTGATTTAAAGTTTTGTATACCTGTCGCATACAAAAGTCGCGATTGCCAAATGCGGTGTAACAAAAATCAGTGCCAGTGGCACAATTTTGGGGAATTGATGTTGACATATTAACACATTGGAAGGCTTGCATAGTAATGTTTTGCTTTTGAGCAGCCCTTGAGAATTGACTGTTTTCAGAATTCACACCTTCATCTGTACCTTGTGAAGTTATAAATACAATCTGGTGGATTGTCAGCTTATCACGTGTGTCACATTTTGTATGCATTAATAATGTAAACATATTTAAATAACATTTTGAATAAGATTTTGAGAAACGTTTGATGTCTTTGATAGCAACATGATAGTACCTTTCGGTAATTTTGTATTCGTGGGTCATTGGCCTGGTTCGAAAACGCTCAACATATTTTAGTGTAGGCCTTTCCACGAATAATGCATGTATGTACCCGAAGGTATATTTGCATTTTTTGTACCCGAAGGTATGTTTTTATTCATGAATCCACGGTATGAATCATAGACCCAGTTCGAAATCGCTCAGCATCTTTTAGTGTAGGTCTATCACGAATATGTGCACATTCATGCGAGATGAGCGTATCTGAAGATAAAATACATTCAGTACTTACCCTGTGAAACATCTATCAGGCTTCAATCTTGAATCCTTGAAAACTATACAAAAACATTCACGATATTTTGTCCTTTCACTCCTTGAGCAGAGAATCTTGAGTCCTTGTCGCAAATGTTTCCACTTAAATATACTCAATTTTCCTCAATTTTCCAACTAAATATAGTTCTATAATTCAATATATATGTCGTTGTCTCACATGTTTCCACTTCAATATACTCAAATTTCCTTAAAATCGTGACGTGTCATAATGGAAATTTGTGTACAACGGAGATTTGTGATCTGCGATTGGAGATCTGCGAAAAAAATGCGTGCCGAAACCTAGAGTCTCTGTGGGCACAGTGCCCCAGCGACTAATTATAATGAACAGTGTTAGTACATAGCTAATAGCAATAATACAAACTCACCGTCTGGTCACTGTCACGTTCTAGAACACTCTATTGTTTATACATGTATCAAAATCCTCTTCGTGGCACGCGCTTGAGCAAAAACTACCCATACTTTTGCAGGCTCTCTATCGAAGACAGAAGCCGCGACATGAATATATCGTCTCCATTTCTTCCATCGAAAAGCTTTCTCCGAGTGTTTCTGCCATGACGGCAACAATGACTCTGACAATGTGTTTCGACGAACAAATACTCCGAGGAAAGATTCATGATTACTTTCATTGACACTTCCAAAGTTTATTTTACAATGCCGAACATTATCAAACACAATGAGTTGCGAACTCGCACCTTTGCTGTATCGCGACCTCTTGTGAATGTTTCATTAACGAGGCACACAAAAGAAAAATTCCGAATTGATCAACAATATATCTTCCATTGGTGGTCTGTAAAAATATTTAATTGCTTGTCTTTCAGACGACAATTTAAAAAAAAAATTAACTTCACTCCTGACTCCTTCATTTTAAAATTTGTTTATTGCGTTGCCGTTATACTTCATATTATACAATTGAAGTGGATCCAAACCAAAACAAAAGATGTAAACAAAGCCCGCACATGCGCAGAATGGACTGTAACCCAGCTTTAAATCATTAGTGCCTACATGGAGTACTATTGATTCTGATTCTTTACGGATAATAGGTGACGGCCGCCATGTTGAATGGCCCCACTTGACGAGTGAATACTATAGATTTGTATTACAGAATGTATAGTTTTCGCTTTAAAACGCTTATTTTCTTCTCTTGGACCGAAACAAACCTTGTTTCATGAAAGAAATATATAACACGAATGCTTCAAGAAGTAAATTTGAAGTTTTTAACCATGAAATCACGGAGAAAAACGAAGTTTTGCGTCGTAATAATGAGTGCCACTGTGAGAGGACTGACTGAAGATGTGAACGCCAGACTCGTCAATGCAGGCTAAAATGACAAGGATTAGATCATATTCAAGTGTTGGATCATTTAGTTAGGAATTCTGATTCAAAGTAGAAAGCAGCTTGACTAACTGAACAAGTGAGGCGGTACAATTAACGGCGATATTGACTGCTGAGTGCTGTATAATAAAACAGGTACGTTTTGCATTAATAATATGACCTTTGTCATGGCTGTCAAAACTTAAATCGTGATGGGATAATTTTATATTTGAGTTGTATGAAACTTTTATTAATTTGTGTGTGGCAGACGATAAAAGAAAAAAGTTTAACTCCCTTGCATTTGAGACATTTGAACTATATTAAAATAGATGACCCCATGTGGTGGTCATCAAGTTCTGTGAATAATGAAGGCACATTAGATTACCCTGATATTTTAATTGCAGTAGTTGGGAAGACAGAATGCTGACTTAACAGCCAAGAACATTGGAGCACTCATGGTAGTGGATTTCCTTGTGGACTGTTTGTGCAGTCGATGCTCCAATCAATGTAATAGTTGGCAGCTTATTTGACAATTTGTATTCAGTCTATTCAAGGATATTGTATTCAGAGATGCTTTGAGAAATAAACTTGTGAATACTAATACTGGTCAAATTAAAGCTGCAAAATTTAATTACTATCGTATTTGCTTTTTGTCTTGACTACCGACTACTTATTAATGAAATGTTCATGCAAATTTACATTTGTTCAGTGATTCCTCAACACTTACTTTATTACACCATTCTCATCTCCCAATGCACCTGTTTCCTGTTTGGTAATTTTATCACAAATACTTCCTTGGCCTGGAAGTATTCAATCTCATGAAACAAGACAGAAGGCTATTTGCTTTTAACTGCTAAAAATTCACGAGAACAAGGCTCCTGGGCCAATCAGAGATTTGAGACATGTATCAAAATGGATTTATTTTCTTCATTTTGACCAGCTAAACCCACAACACTCTGAATCTACAATATTTCTCCATTATTTAAATGGTAGAAATGCAGATTAAAAATACAGATGGTATTGACAACAACACAAGTTGATAAAGATCTTTAATGTAATATAAACTAAGGGTTGGGATAAAACGCGGAACCGGAATGCGGAAACGGATTGCGTAAGCGGATTCCGCAAATGAGGATAAAACGCGGATTCCGGAAGCGGATTCCGCAAATGAGGATAAAACGCGGATTCCGCAAATGAGGATAAAACGCGGAATTGAAGCAGAATAAGGACGATCGAGAAGCATAATGGGGTAAATTAAGTTTCATCACAACATTAACTTAATGCCACAACCACTGAAAAATTTACCTGACAAAATTTTCCCTTTATTAATTTTAACTGCATTCAAACGAATTCCAAGTAATCCAAACAAGTGCGCTTATGTTAAAAATTCAATATTCAGTACAATTTTTTTAAAAAAATAAAGAAATGCAGTCAGTCTTCGTATGTAACTTTAAACACCAAAATATAATTATGCGAAACCAGTTCAAAATGTCTAAGAAGTGGGCAAATTAAACATTACTTGCACAGTTATTAATTTTAATTTGCACGATTCGCTCGCGGAAAATTCAATAACTATTAAAATGTTTATTTTTTGTGTAGTAAATACATGCGCTATCAGTCGAGTTTATATCCGTAGTTTAACTCCTGAGCTGCCGGCAACAGCCACATATAATTTCAGAGTTTGTCTTTCTCTTCATGCATTGTGCACTGGGCGCACAATAGTTCTTTGCACTCGTACGCTTTTTCTTTTCGTAGCATTTTAGTATAAATCTATTAAAATTGTGATGATTTATGGCGAAATTTCATTCGGCGGCGGAAAACTGTCATAGTTCTGAATTCCTGTCGAATGTGTTGTGCATGTTTCGCATTACATACAGGCATGACGATTTCATGTTATTTACTTAGCCTAGACTATTCATCTTTAAACAATTGAGATATTACTCTTCTAACTATAAAAAATACAAAACAAGTGAAACTCCAAAAGTCGATAACATATATATTTATATACGTTTCGACTATATTTCAGTCATCACCAGGATAAACTAGCTATAGGTTATACTGACTTATACATCAAAAACAGTATTTATATGAAGAAATATGATACAATCATTAGGTTGATTATTAATGAATTAATTAAATATGATTAGTTCTTTAGAAGCTTTAAGTCCATGATTAAGTTCAGACTAACCCACCCTGCCAACTTGCTCTGTTAGAGGAAACGTACTGGACTACCCGGAGAAAACCCACGACTTTCGGCAGAGTGTTGACTGACTCTTTTCCTATGAGTCCGTAGCGAGAATCGAATCCATGATCTCAGAGGTGCATGAAAGGCGCTTTCTCTGACGCCTGCGCCATCAAAGCCCGAATATTACTAGCATTGTTTAAACAAAGAAACTCATATAAAAATTAAGACGCTCTTGATAAATACGATTTTCCACCTCCCTCCATAATTTTGAGAAATAGTCAAAAAAAGTCACAGTCACCCCAAACACTAATGCATGCATGTAAGACTTCAACAGTTAGGCCTAGGTAATCGTTTTTTAGTGGTTGTGACCTTAAAAAGTAACAGGTTTTTTATACGCTATTCTGCTTCTCGTCCTTTTTTACGTAATTCCGCGTTTTATCCTCATTTGCGGAATCCGCGTTTTATCCTCATTTGCGGAATCCGCTTCCGGAATCCGCGTTTTATCCTCAAATGCGGAATCTGTTTCCGGAATCCGCTTACGGAATCCATATCCCAACCCTATAAACTAATAGACGGCCAGCCACGCGCGTAAAAAGTGCTTATAAAACACATCCGATGGCATTTTTTGTTACAAGCAGGCAACCACCACCAAAATGTAGCTTGAAGTATCACAAACACAGCTATATGGGTTGCCCGCTCTATTTCGGCTTTTAAAACCTTTAATTTTGGTGATTATTCTGTCAAATTTCAGTGCCGCGGCTCTGTTTGTAAAAGCCGTGAAATTCTATCCCCGCGGTGTTCATGGCAACAAACTCGTTTGTAATAATCATTCTGATTGGTCAAATATTTCATTGTGACCAATAGGATTGATTTAACTAGAAAACTGAGCCCGCGCATGCCGGAGGATATGGAAATAATGCGCAATAAAATGGTAATTCTTTGCTCGAAAGATCGATTGAAACAAGGTTTTTATCAAACAAAACAGGCGACGAAGACACATAAAGTTTGTATTATATATTTATTAACATATTATTTCCTTATTATCGTTATAACTAAAATAGTTTTCATCATATATCGCTTGGATACTTGATATTTTTATAGCTTTTTGGGTGTCTTTGTTTGAAAATATGATTACCCCTATTTGATTTGTCTCTTTCATACATGTCAAGTTAAAATAATGTAATCACTGTAGCACATAATAGTCTTAATACAAGACACCAAACAATTCGAATTATATTTTCATTCTGAGAGGGGCAAAGAAATATTGATTTAATGTAGTGTTGAATTTTTAATGTTCATAGTACATGTTATAAATATAATAATGCAGTATTAAAAATATTAAGGCACACAATTGTCAATGGCTTCAACAACCTCATCTGGTTCAAAACGTAAGGAGGAAAGTATATCTCCTAGCGCAGTTATTCCTCTGATAAATGTCTATTTTGCCAAGGCAACACATCAGGTGAGTTGAGAATCTCTTCTGATGATGGAAGAAGCAAGGCTGTCCAATGTGCAATTACCATATTAATTATTACCATATTATTATTATTACCATATTTGCTGTGCAATGTGGATTACCATAGCTAAAACAAAATAACAATTAGAACTTTGTTAAGGCTTTTCTAAGTTTGTTGATACAAAAAATTCTGCTAATTTCATGAATGATTAGGATTATCAGGACATGCGGTATACCATTTTATACTATGATCGATAATTGTTTTTGACTGATCTACATTGCATAATGTATGTGTTTGTATTGGCTTCTGGAGGGTACATCTTCAGTTTTGATGTAAATTGGCAAAACAAACAATAATTTATAATTGTGATTTTTTTTCGATTCAAATAATATTCATCTCACTATGTCACAAGCATGAGAAATACATGCGATTAGAAATTTTACTATAGCTACCAGCATAAAATTATATTCGGTAGAGAAATTCAAAGTGGTCACAAGCCCAGCCAAAGGGACCATGAACATTGTAATGAACAGTGGCAATAAATGGAAACATTCAAATAATAAAAGAACTTTGGGAAAATTGTGTTCAAGTCAACCCACATCTGTGTCTGTGATCCAGTATTGTTATTAAAAACATTGAACGTTTATACCTATTTGATCGAATGATATCCTACACAAGCCAAGGCCCAAGACAATTAAATAAATGGAAACATTCAAATAATAAAAGAACTTTGGGAGAATTGTGTTCAAGTCAACCCTCGAGTCAACCCCCATCTGTGTCTGTGATCCAATATTGTTATTGAAAACATTGAGCGTTTTATACCTACTTGATCGAATGATATCCTACACAAGCCAAGGCCCAAGACAATTAAATAAAAGGAGACATTCAAGAGATAAAAGAACTTAACTTATAATCAAGGGAGATTTACTGGTATCTTCAAACAAAGTCAAGAGTTGCACTAGCAACGCATAGAGACAAACACAAATATGCACTAGCAAAGCATAGAGACCAGCAAGCGTTTGATATTCCCATTATTATAGAATATAGTATCAAATGCAGGATAAAAAGATACTGTCCCACTTTTATATTATGTTAAAACAGTAGTCAAAAGTAAAACAGATATTTTAAAATATTCGAGCAAAGTATATCTCATGCATACTGGCATTGCTGGGCCTGCTGGCAGAAACAGACTAACAGAGCAATCGGCTCGAAAGTTGAAATCGTATTGAAAATGTTCGGTAATAAGTCAAATAATTGTGATTTAAGATGCCGTACCCCTCGATTCGAAACAAATACCCACACACAAATTAATGTTGTCGCCTTAAAAAACGCTGTAAAGCGATTGCGTATATATTACATCGTACAAAATGCCGATAAAATCTCATTTTTGCACGAACAAGCGAACATTGAAATTGGGAAAATAGCCGATTTGTATCAACAAATAAGGGAAATCACAACGGTCACATATTTCTATTGACATGTAATTACTGTTTAAACGTAATAAAAACTCAGAATATCTATGTTTTACCTCTCTCTGGGTCGATCTTTTATCTTATTTGCCAAAAGGTTCTTCTTGGCGCGCCATATTTTATTTTGTTTATAATTGTGAGCGATGTTAATTACATCACGCGATATTTTCTTTCATCTGATTGGTTAGTCCTCGCTTCCGGCAAACCATATTTGGCAAAATATATAAACTATACAAAATACCATATTTTAACAAAGCGGCACTTCAAAGACGAAGATCGCCCTCAAAAAACCTTCATTTTTTCCTTTTCTATCCAAAATTACGCGTGGCAACGGGGCAAACCTTCTTAACAACATCAATCCGAAGCTTCCTGGCTAGGTTGCCTGCTTGTAACAAAAAATGCCATCGACAGTCACTTTTTTTAGGCTGGCTGGCCGTCTAATATGTGTAAAATACTCTTTAATTTGTATTCAAGCGCTTTCGTGTACAAAACTTTGTTTAAGTACGGCAAGTTTTACTCGCACTAGTTGACCAATAAAAAGCTCCTATGGCCAGGATGACGTCAAACTCATGCGTGTAGGTGCAACCTTCCGAATCGATGTCTGGCCTTTGCAGAGTCATACGATAGAAACGTCGCATTGTTTTGACGTTTTTCGTCTTATTTCCGGTTGGGATTAACTCACTTCGAGCTCACAGTCGGACAAGAATTGGAAATATACTGATAAAAATACAGATTTGAAGATACAGGCGTGCATATAACACTCCAGATAGTTTCTTTGATGAGGATTCGAACAAGACTATTACAAAGTCGATATGTTCGAAGTTATTTTCGGCGAAAGGTATGGCTAGTTTATATTTTTGTTCAGACAATTGCGTAATTTGAAACAATATGATCATGTTTGACTTCAAAGGCCCATAAATCACTACAATGTTGATAATGACTATAACTATAGTGAGGAATTAGCTGCATCGTTTATTTCTAAATCGAATGGTGGTATTTCTGTCTTCATAGCATGCACTTAACCGAATATATGAAAACACAAAGCCATCAACCGCGCGAAGATGAATTAATTTCCTTCTTTACTCACTGCGTTCGCCCGAAGGAAAACATTTTCCTTCTACATTCGCTATATCAATTACACACACAACGTATAGATGGTAGGCGACGTGTGAGCACTTGCCTATAATTCATTTATTTATATTCCTTTTATCACAATGATTAATCGCTATCAATATTTATTTATATTACATTTCATTTGCGTTTACAACTGAAGTGACTTTGTAACTGACAATTTGTTAGTCATGGAGTCTTTAATGTACATATCCCTTGAGGTGTCCGACTTCCATCGCCCTTGCAGTCTGAGCAGCCTATCGCCCCCTGGTAGTCCTTTCATGGATTCGGCAATTGCAGTTGCACCTCCAGATCGCACACTATGCGTACCAAACTGAGCTGGATCCTCGCCAACAGCAGCCAGAGTTTCTTTAACAATTTCACGACATCGAGAATAACTGAAAGGTTTGTTGTCTGCTTTATTTAATGTACTTTTCTTCAGCGATGACAGCGAACGAAAAATGTACTCGTTTGAACGTGGCTGTATAACTGTGAGAGAATAGAAACGTAAAAGCAAAGCATGTGGGCACGCTGGCACGTTAGTTTTTGCTTTATAAACTATATTTCCTTGTCGATAATGGTCAGTCTTGGATTTTCGAACCACAATCTCGAGATGTTCAGCTTGGATCCCAATATCCTGTGCCTTCCCTTACGAAAATCAACACTATTTTAACCCTATTTTATTCCTACAGAAAAGCTATTTTATTTTTAACCCTATCATATTGCTATCACATATACAAATCCTATATTAAACCTATTAGAACTCTGTTTTAATTGTATTTTATGGCTATTATAAATAGGTTTTTTTGAAACAAAAAAAGCCTATTTTAAATAGATTTTATTTTTCTGAATCGGTGAAGCACATATTAAAATAGGTTTAAAATAGGATAAAATATATTTAAAATAGAGTGCAAAATAGAAATAAAATAATAAAGTAAAGTGAAATATTGGTAATAAAATAGATTTTAAATATACATAAAATAGGTAAAAAATAGTCGAAAATACATATAAAATAGTGGATCAACTGCAGTATATTAATTAAAATAGTAATAAAATTACTGCAAAAATAGTAATAAAATAGTTTAAAAATATGAATAAAATACTGATAAAATAGTAATAAAATAGTAGAATTTAAAATAGTGATAAAATAGCGAACAAAATAGTAAAAAAATAGTTCAAAATTCTTATAAAATAGTATAAAAATACTATAAAAATAGTAATAAAATTGTAATAAAATAGTCGAGAGTCATAACAGTTCTAAAATGATTAATAAAATAGTTATAAAATAGTCAGAAAGTAGTAATAAAATAGTTATAAAATAGCAATAAAAGAATAGTAAAATAGTCATAAAATAGCAATAAAATAGTCAGAATGTAGCAATAAATAGTAGCACCTAATAGTATATAAAAATAGTAGCACTGCAACATAGTTCTTTATAAAGTAATAAAATTGTAGTATGATAATTAAAACCAGTTAAAAATAGTAATGAAATAATATCAAATTAGCTTAGTACCATGGTTGACAGGTATATTATCGTTTAAAATTGTATAAAATAATACACATAAAACAGTTTGTATTCTTATTAGCTGTCAATGCTAGGTTGTAACAGTCTAACAGCGGCAGGGGTGAATGGGGCAGGTTAAGCAGTGTCAAATCAATGGCATTGTTTACAAGGACACCGGAACTGGGGGGGGGGGCAGGAGGGGCAGCCGCCCCCCTTAAAATTGTCTAGCTTGAGACCACACAGTTAAATATTGTGTGCAGAACTTAAAGCAGGGAGTGTTAAGGAAAATTACATCTAAATATGTCAACATGAAACATCATGGGTATGAAATATCATGAGTCTAGCTGGATACTTTCCTTGGCAAATAAAATTGTCCAACATTAGGCAAGATACAGAAACATTTAAATATTAACAAACTGCTGAAAATTGGGCACTTCGGAGTGAAATGGGTAATTTCACCATTGTCGTGACTTGCCGGGTTGTGTCTAAAGAATGAGATATATAAAATGTAGCCCAAAGGTTGTTACATATATTATTAAGCAGATCATGCAGGTGGTATAGATAAATGTATTCATATATTATAAACTTTGAACAAGCAAACAAAGGACTTTGACTGTTTCCAGTTAGGGCACTTCCATAATCAAGTTGCCACAAAACAAATTGATCAAATTAACATTTTACCTATTAACCGACCCACCCGGCATTAAAAACTTAAGCATGGCATACAAAGGAAATTGAAATTAACCCTCTATACCCCCATTCCATTGATATCCTAATACATTGTACTATTACCCTCAGATGTTAGACATGGTAAAATCAAACAGAACTGAACGAATCCAGCTTTGATGCAACCAACACCTGGTGTTAGACTGAGAGTGAAAAAAAAATTAAAGTAGGGTATATAAGTGCTATAATGGTAAAGTGCATGAGACATCCTTTTCCGGCTGATAATTTCAGCAAATATACTAGATAGATATAAGTAGAAAATAACATACAGTAATGGCATGTCTTGCAAATATAACGACATATCTTGTGAAACACTGCTGAAAGTGAATCATATTTGATTCAAAACATACAGTTTTCATAAATTGTGTGTTAATTACTATATAATGCACTCCTTATTCAGAATAACTTTTATTCTATGACTATTATGTAACTGAGACATGCACATTTAGCTGGGATATGCCTAGGTATTTATAAGCATATAAAGAATTGAGGATTGAAACTTGAGTAGATGCCAAGCTATAATATATTAATTTTGATACAAGAAACACTGCCACTGGAATCTGGCAATACACAACTATTAACTATTTGGCATTAGTTAATACAATAAACATAATTTAATATAAAGACTTCAGGAGTCAAATGTAAGCTTTGAATTAAACTAACGTTTTATATCATCGTTTTAAATATTGTCGCGGCAAATTCAAATTTTAAGCCGAAACATCAAGCACGTGCATTCTCAAAATTCAGGAATGAAGATTGAAGTAGAAAATATTTCCTTTCAAAATTGCTCTATTATACATAAAACATAACAAGATTCTTAGCTGGATATTACTCTGTCATCCCTGATGTTTCATCATCGCTTATTAAGGCTTCAACGGCTCGGCAAATTCAAATTTTAAGCCGAAACATCAAAGGTCATCAAACACGTGCATTCTCAAAATTCACGAATGAAGATAGCAAATATTTCCTTTCAAAATTGCTCTATTATACATAAAACATAACAAGATTCTTACCTGGATATTACTCAATCATCCCTGATCTTTCATCTTCTTTTATTCACGGTTAATAAGGCTTCATCGGCTCGAAATATCGAGCGAAATATTGTAACTTCGAAATCACGAACTGATTATAAAAAATGGCGGGGTGTAAATTCAGTGCTTCCACTTCCACTTTCAAAAAAATAATTTCCTTCCCAACTGCTCAAAATTTCCTTATTTTTGACAAAAATTCCTTTGATGAAGATGAATTTTACCTAGTTTAAAACTGATATTACAATAATTTATCCTGAATGACGGTGTATTTCTCGGGTGAGAAACACCATGAACCTTGCAATTATAAATTATAAATTAATTATAAAAAACTGCAACAGGAGGCTTGAGGTCATGTCTCAGAAATTTTTCAGATTTTCCATTCCCCAGGAGTAGGATTTGGATTTTTGACATTTCCTGACGCGAATTTGCTTGGGAATTGCTATAATCTTAGGATTTATTAGAAATAACATAATATCCTTATTTCCTTGCTGAAAACAAAATTCCTTGCCGTTTCCTAGTAAATTTTATTTCTTTTTGCAAAGAAATGTCCTTGCAAGTGGAAGCACTGCATGGGATGACCAGTGTAGGCAACAGTTGAAGCCTCCCCCTTTTCTCACCCTCCGCCCCTCACCCCCCTTCCATTATTAATGATTGGTCCCTTATCTGTGTAACTATAAAATACGGTTCTATTTTATTTCATTTTGCTAAGTAGGAAAATTCAGAATGTTTTAATTTAAATAGACTATTTTATACATATCTGCAAATTGTAATCCTGAATCCCGGTAAATGTAAAATAGGATTAAAATAGTGTATTTTATTATATTTTGCAAATTAGGGAAAGTAAATAGGTTTAAAATAGTATATTTTATCCCTATTTGAAAATTGTGGCAGTTTTAAAAATGTGCAATAGGTTTAAAACAGTCTATTTTATTCTGTTTTGCGTATTCTGAAAAATAAATAGCTTTAAAATACTATATTTTATATCTATTTTAATTTATGTAATATTCTGCACGTGCAAAATATGTTTAAAATAGTCTATTTTATTGTTATTTTGCTAACTATGAAAGAAAGATAGGATTAAAATAGTATATTTTATTCCTGTTTGAAATTTGTGCATTTAACTTCCAATGTAAAATAGGATTTAAACAGCCTATTTTATTTTATGAGTTTAAAAATAGTATATTTTATATCTATTTTAATTTCTAACTGCTTTCTGGTGAAGTAAAATAGAATTTAAATAGGCTATTTTAAACCTATTTTTTCCCTGAGGCTCTGGAAAATAGTATTAAAATATGCGATTTTATTTCTATTATCTATAAAAATAGGAATAAAATAAAATAAAACATTAATAAAATATGGCTCTTTCTTTTAGTGAAATATTATGATAGATTTAAAATAGGGTTGCCTCTGAATAAAATAGCATAAAAATAGGGATGATAGTAATAAAATAGTTTTAAAATAGCAATATAATATAGTTATTTTCGCAAGGGACGGCGCTTCGCCAATAATTCACTTGCCTTTTATAATAAAATTTGAACCCTCACCTTTTAAACTTGTGTCACTTGCGGCCTTTTACTGTAATATATGAACTCAGTTGCTTGTAATCTTGATAGCTTTAATAATTTATGCTTGACCTTGAACAATTTTATATCATATTACGTGCGAGGACTTCAATACCCCCCATTGGTTTTGCGATATTACCCACCAATGCTTTGCGGGCAAAAAACTTAAAAACTTAAATTTCTCTACCTACCTCTGGTATATACCGATCATATTACGTGCGGGGACTTCAATATATGCCTCCTCGGGTTTTGGCCCTCTTGGGCCAAAACCCTGCGGGGGCAATTAATTGACTTAACCAGTCAGATGTCCGAATATTTGTACTAAAGGTGGGAAGAGATTCCTTATTCCTTAATTCATCTGGGAGGTTGTTTCACAATTTTTACCTCTATAAACTAAGACTTTTTTGAGGTACTCAGTCTTACATATATAAATATAATTTAGTGGAAGACCAACGAAAGTTGTAATATTGAGAGCTAGGAAGACGCCTTTTGAAAAATATCAGCTAGCGTTTTTGGTGCCAGACTATGAGTTATTTTATTTAGCTAGAAACTGAATTCTGCGTTCACTTAATATCTTCCATAGGCCTACTCTGGGGCGGTAAATCGCCTTAAATCGCTGCGATACAATGCGATTTTGGGCGATTTTAGGCGATTTAAGCAAAAACTGGGACTTTCAAGCACTGCGATTTAGTGCGATTTAGTGCGATTTTAGGCGATTTAAGAAAAAAATTTTAATTTTAGGGATTGCAATTTAGGTGTTTTCAAAGGAATTGAATTCTATATTTTGCTCCGGTTTCCTCCCACAGGGCAAAATTGGCAGGGTGGGTTAGGATAAACACAGTTAGGAAAGTAATATCATATCCTCATTGTTGTAAAGATAAATAGTCTAGGCTAACATATTAGTAATCATAGTACTTGATGTAATCGATCACTGAAAAGCCCCAATGTGGGGAGTGAGCTGAATAATAATGTAATGTTTCCACACACATATGCATTGTATGAAGCAAAATACAATTATTAGAACATGTATGTACATTTTATATAAAGCTAGGTTAACTATTGTATTTAATTAACCTGATTCACATGTAAAGCTCAATATTCATGAACTTTTCACCCATTCTCTCTATTTAAAAGCCATTGGGGTTCATCTTGGGGGTCATAGCAGGGTGTTAGCTAGCCCATATGCTGTCCGTTTGACGCACTCTTCCCAATTGAGGGCTTTCCCAACTGGGTCTACTGGAAAATTAGCACGTGTCCCCCAAAATTTTAATGGTCGGGCGAAAATCAATGCGAAATTGGTCGAAATTGGGGAAATTTTTAAATTTCAATATTCTGTGGAAAAATTTTCGGATTTGGCGGAAATTACGGAATATTTCTTTGATATCTCCTGAAAATTTTTTTTGGTGACCCCCCACCCCCACCCCCCTCCCGCTCGCCAAGAATTTTGGGAAAAATATTCAGCTAAGTCCAGTTAAAACTTTCCCAATTTACGTTTAACGGACAAAATTTTTTTTTCTGGCTAACACCCTGCATAGCTACATTTATATACACCACAAATATTGTAAACAGTTAATATACTCTACTTAAGGGGCATGCACTACACATATCGAGTTAAAATTGCAAAATATAATAAATATTTGATTTCCAAAAAAATCACAAGGGGTAGGGGTAGAAACACACAAATAAGTGTATTTGTACAGTATAACTGAATAGGCTATAATCCCATAATTTACCTTGTCACCCTTGTAAGTGACATTGTCTTGTTTTGCATGTCAAAACTTCTTTATTTAGCTTGCATTTTATTTAAACTGTTTCAATCTCGTGCTTTCTTCATGCTACAAACATATTTATAAATTTTTTGATATCTACATCATATGATATCCCAGTGCCATATCCAGAAACAGTATCGTCACGCATTCGGAAACTGTCGGCGTAATGCCGTAATGTTTAAATTACATGAAGTATATCGTATATAAATGGTAGGAATTCTAAATTATTTTAAAATTAAAACCAAAATAGTACAGCGTTACTGTCGTTCCAATTGAAGTGTTGCTCAAATATTGATTCAATACATTACCTCGGGCTGACCAATTCATTTGATCAAGTTCCTCGAGATATTCATACACTTCCTGTGAAAGAGCCAATTCCAAGTATTTGATCATTTCTGGTCACTTCCTTTCTATTTATGATTGGTTAGTTGCACAAACAACAAAGGTGATTGGTGCATTCAAACTATTCAACAGGAAGTTTACAATTATACAAGAAAGTGTATGAATATCTCGAGGAACTTGATGAAATGAATTGGTCAGCCCGAGGTAATGTATTGAATCAATATTTGAGCAACACTTCAATTGGAACGACAGTAATTGTTAAACAAATGGCGCACTACATCGAGGTTTTAGGTTCTGCAAACAAACAAACAACACCAAAAGATCTATTGTATGGTATGTAAGATGTAATCATTGTTTTACTGTTTATTGTATATACAGGTCTGGAAAATTTAATAGACGAGAGTTGCAAATCACTCATAACCTCACGTATATTATTCGTTTGATAGCGAGTCAATTAGCGACTATAATTATAACTAGGAGCTAGAGTATAACCATGCACATGTCGAAGTACAACCATTGTATACAATGCAGTGCTCGATCTTACATGCAACAGTGCACAAATTACACGATGACTTTATTATATAAATCAACACTCGTACTCATTGACTTTCGTAGTTTCCTACTGTTGTTCTAATTAAAGCCTGGTTCACATATGTCTGCGATGTGTCGGCGGGCTATTGTCTTAGCAGTTCAACCAAATAATTCACAAAAGAATGCATCAACAGCTGTAAACAATGACGCCGCAGGCATATCGCAGACATGTGAACCAGGCTTAACAGCAATATATAGCTAGATTGTAGATTAATTTGTAGCCCAGCCTCCATAGTCCATATAAATTGTAGCCCAGCCTCCATTTACACCAATAATGAAATTAGCTCATTCTGGTAACTAGCTCAATTTTGTTGCTTGCAGTGTATCGGATCTATGAGTCTTTCAGATCCCAGAATTACCTAATTATTGTAAAGTCTGCATAAAGCAGAAAAGGCTCTGTTTTTGTCAATGACCCGTGCCTATTGAGTGACCAAATATTGTCAGCCTAATCCACTTATTTGATTGCAAATTCATGTTGCATTACTTTCATTGCAAAGCACCTGGATTACATGATTTGCCCGTAAAATAGCAGCAATTGATAAACTTGAGCACATGGACTGAATGTATCAAGCAGAATGCATCCCTTACGAAAAATGTCTATATGTGGCCTATAGGTTCCTATAGGAATTGTTCCAATTCCCTATAGAAGCCTTCAGGCACCTATAGAGCTCTATAGACTTATAGGCATCCCTATAGGTCACCTATAGAAAATGTTCCAATTGCCTATAAAAACCTATAGGTTTCCTATAGAAACCTATAGGTTGGCCTATAGGCCAGGCCTGTAGACTTTTTTTGTTAGGGATGTTGGCGATTTTAAGCAATCTTAGGCGATTTTAGGCGATTTTAGGCGATTTAGGAGAAATTCGACAATTTTAACCCGCGATTTAGTGCGATTTTAGGCGATTTAGGGCGATTTAAGGCGATTTACCGCCCCAGAGTAGGCCTTTCCATTCTAGTCCATTTAGAGCAAGCCGTTCAGATTGGCCATGTTTATTTTTACGACCTCTTAGGCTATAACTCTCATGGTAACCCTATTTTGTAATCTTTGTAGACGATCAGAAAGTGTAGCACCAATGGTATCCCTGACTTCGTAGCAGCAATCAAAGTGCAATCATAATGAATAAGTGCATTATAAGCACATATTAATCCACAACAGATTCTAGCAGGGAAAAATTCAGCACCACTTTCGGCCCAAATGTAGTACATTTTCCCGTGCGTAATACATATTAATACAACATTTCGCAACCAAACTTTGCAATTTTACTAATTCTATAACATGCTCTTTCTAGCTGTGATGATGGATTTTGTTCTTCTTGCCTAGATAAAAATTTAGTCTACAGCTGGAATCATCCATTCCCGATGAGATATTTTTAGCAATTTTATCAATATGCTTTTCCCAAGATACAAGTTCGTCGACATGGCCAGAAATGATGGACATGATATAACCTTTTGAAATGTGGCTTCTGCAGTAAACAGTAAATTATATTACGCAATGCTTCGTTGAAATCGCTAAATCAGAGAATACCGTATGTCGTTTGCAATTTATCTCAATTGCTGAACAACATGGCAGCTGAAACGAAGGGGAAACAGAAATATTTGGCAGCAAAACCACAGCATTTTTAGCTTAAGGACTAAGGTGGCTCAATACACTTTTCAAAAATTCAAGTGTTCAACACTTTGACATGTCTAAACTACGCATTTTTAGGGTTTATTCAGCAAATATTGTGGGTTTTATATATTTTGATATCTCGACTTTCAAATTAAATTGTTTTAATGACAGATAGTCTGTTGCTATGACGACATAGCCTATATACGTGTATGAAATTCACTGAAAAATGCCTATCGTCTCGTATAGTTAGAAAAGAAGCATGGTGACCCCCAAATTTTTTTCCGCATTACAATTATTTTACTTGGAAGAAAAGCTAACAATTAGCAAAATATAAAAAAATTCTGTTAGTGCCATTTTTGTGGAGAATGCGAAAATGTCTTATTCTTCGGTAAAATGTTTTTGGCATTACAGAATTATTCTATTTTTGTATACAATGAAAGATTTTAGCGGTGAAATACAGCATGCAAAATTTGAACATAGGTCACCAGACAAAATAGAGAGATATAGCGCATTGTTTTTCTAAAATGGAAAATTCTAATGATGTCAGCAATTGACAGAAAACGCTATAGAACACGCGCAATGACGTGAGATGGTGCGAAAAAATGGTCACGTCAGGTCATTTTGGAAATTAATAAAAAAAAAATTAATAAAAAAATTAATAAAAAAGTTCTTTCATTTTGTTAATCAGTTTCCGCGACTTGCGCGTAAAAATGGTCGCCCGGTTTTGTTCTAATTCAATATTTACTAACGATTTCCTAAATGCTGCATAAATGGTCGAGGACTTAACATTATCTGGGAGACTGTTCCACAATTTGGGACCATAGTATCTCCACGATTTAACTTAAGCCCAAATTTTGTGGTATTAAATATAGTACAAACCATAATCCAAAGATTAGCATCTTGAAACCCAAAAAATGTCAAGATGCTAATCTTCGCCGGGATTATGTTTTGTACTATATTTTTTGAAATTGTCGGCTGGTATTGGTTTGTGATATTAACCTTCGGTAGTATGAGCATATCTTTTCCTCCCCTGTTGTAAGCAGAGTTTCTACATTGTATTAGTCAGTGGCTTTTTTAGGATTGATATTGTTTAAAACCTTTTTTACTTCCATATAGCCTAGGATCTGTTTTATGTATGGTTAAAGTAGGAACGTTTGGGAAATTACTCGCGATATGGTTAAGATCTGTTATTTGTCCATCTGTCTATTCAACATGAACAATAGGATCAGAAAATAGACTATTGATATGGTACTGTGATCCAATAAGGAACTATTCAGTTTTAACAAGATTTAGTGACAGTTTATTTGCAGTGAATCACTGTTTAACATTCGCAAGATCACGATTAATGGCCGCCTCATCATTACGAATTGACTTACCAGATACGGTTCATGTCGTATTGTCGGCAAACAATCTTGTCGACATGCACTTCAAACTGTCCGGGAAGTCATTGATATAGATTAAGAATAAGAGTGGCCAGATAATTGACCCCTGAGGAATTCCACAGTTAACTAATTTTGACTGGATAATACGTCGTTTACAGAACACATGCATTTCATGATTTGAGTTTTATTAGCTAGGTACTGTATGATCGAAGAATGTTTAGATCCAGTGTGTCATCACTGTCATGCCATAGAAATCAAGTTTCTTTAGCAATATTTCGTGATTGTGTCAAAAGCCTTATTCAAATCAAGAAACACCGCAATGTTAAACATACCACGATCCAGATTAATAAACCATTCATTTGTGCTGTCCAAAAGGGCAGAAGCTGTAGAATAAAAATGTCTGAAACCAAACTGACGAAGGGATAACAAATTATTTGCAACAAATTACTCATGTAATTGTTCGTATATAAAATTTTGAATTCTCCAAAACTTTTTTTTAGTAAGCCAAGGAATATTTGGCTATCTATTTACTCTTTTTTTTCTTTATTGTTTTTTTCTCTTTTTTCTATTAATTTTTGTTTCTCTAAGATCTGACATGCATATTCAATATTCGAATATGCATATCAGATCTTCCATTATGGTTTACCACAATATCTGTGGGAAGAGGCATTTCTCCTCGTTTATCGTATGGTTGTGTCTTAAATTGTGTTAGGATGAATTTATTTTTAAGATTTTTAGTTCTCTATGCACATTTTCAACCATTATAGGTTAGAACAAATCTGAATCTCTTCATGTCACATCATGTTACATTATGGTGCACTAGCCTACATGTTACACTAAAATTACTATACTTTACTAATAGTTCTTGACATGTTACTACATGTTATACCTATATTTTTAAAAGGAATTAATTTTTTTTAAAGGGACTGTGTAACATGTTTTAACTTGTAAGGATATATAATAAAAGATAGAACTTTTAGTGTAACATGTAATGTAACATGTGGTGTATAACATGGTGTAACATGTAGTGATTTTACTCAGACTGTACATTTATTAAGTAATAAAAAGATCTTTGTTAAGACAAGCATCAAGTTTGAGGCAATCACGGGTACATGCGCTAGGAAAGCATATTGAAACCATATTAAAACATACTTTATAGGTACAATGCTGTACTATAAAATTTTAATAATCGAAAAAATATCTGAAAAGTGTAACAGTCATGAATATAGAGGATATTAGACGGTTGCGAAGAGATATGGATTTTATGTTCAAGTGATATATTGTTTTTGACACGAGAACATAAATCCATATCTTCTCGCAACCGTTTAATGTTCTGTTTATTATATGCACTTATTCAGGGCAAAAATACACACAAAGACGACGTGTAAATAAGCACGCAAAAGACCAGTATAAAAGCGATATTTTTAAAAATTATAGTGCAAACATAAAACTAGAATAAATTTTACTTATCTCAAGATGTCTTTTAAACGTTTTCGTTTTATTTTCAACGTTAATTTCGTTTTAAATACGAACCAAAGTCCGTTTGTATTTTCAAAACAACAGCAATGAAAATGGTGGGAAATTTTCGAACTTCGAATGTCACTAGCAGGGGTGAAATACGGAAAATACGCGCACCTGGCCCAGGATGTAGTGACGTATGAGTTCTACGAGTGTTTTTGTTTCCAGTAAAACACCATTGTTCATATAATAAATTGTACTATGTAATGATCTATATATGCAATATCTGTCCCTCTGATAGTTTTCTTTTGTTATTAACTGCCATATTTTTTTGTTAATGTAGTCTTTACCGGATAAATTAACCACAATTTTCCTTGAAACAGGGCACCTTCATTAAGTCCCCCGTCTACCCCCCCCCCCCTGGCCTTCCAAAAGTTTAATCAAACCCTGAACTATGTTCCTAATATAGAGTCCTTTTTAATTTGAAAATGATGTTTTGAAAATAAATGTTGGTTAAAGGATTAATCCATTGTATTTTTCAGACAATCTTGGAAAAAAATATCTGTAGACTTTTCGAAAAATACACTCAAATTTGAAAACATATGATGAAAATGTGAGCATTTTGCAACTAAAGCAAATATTTACCTTAAACCCTTAAATGGTTCAGGTAAGGTGGATTTTCAACATATGTCACCTAAATATCAACATTGTATAAGGGGGAGGGGGACAAAGTTTGAAAATTTAAGAAGTCTACTAATTTTTTTCCAGGATTGTAGACGATGCCTATCATGAAAAAGGCGATTTAGGTGAGAGAGAAATCCCATATGCAGACGACAACAAGGAAATATTGAAAATATCACAATGATATTACCAGAGAAATGTTAAATAAATTGTACTAAATTTGTGTATATGTTTAATTAATATGTAATCCGTCGCGGTTCCACTCAAACTCGGTTTATCCCATTTCACTACGTTTGCAATGCGTGAGTCATGCGTTATTCTCGCATTAGTCACATGTGCCGTGAGTCAGGCCCGTCAGCGCGCGGCAGCATGCCTTTGTTTACTTTTTGGGGGTGGGGGGGGGGGGGGAACGC